GCCTCACACCCTGTCTCACTTCCTTACTACTCTTTAGGTACCAGACTCTTCACTCTTAGGCACTTGGTGACACTGCTTATGAACTAGTCTTGAATATTCTTATGATCGTTCTCACATTAGACACTTTCTGGGCTATAACTTCAGGTCAGCTATCAACTTGTGTTGTGACTATAGCCTAGATACTTCACAGTCTTGGAAGTAAAGTCATTCAAATAAATATAGAGTTCAGATTTTATCCTAAGATCAATGGGAAGCCACTGATGTGCTATTTGAAATGGTACAGTGACAATATCATATTCAAATTGAAGTAGCAATTTCAAGAATCATGTGACCCACCTTAGTGGAAAAAGGGGAGATGCAGTGTCATTGTACTCCAGGAGTAAAGCCACCTGCTAACTGACTCCTAATACCTACAGTGCCCAAGACTCATGGAGCATTAGTATTCTTGACTGAGAGGGCATAAAGAATCTCATTTCTTTTCAAGGGGTCCTGTTCCTGGCCTGAACTCTCTTGCCTTCACTCATCAGCCAGGATCTACTTATGAATTCAGTTATGGTGAATAAGACAAGAAACACAATAAACAATTTGCTAATGCTCAGTACCATCTCCATCCTTCTACTGTAACCCCCTTACGCTCTACCCAACCCTTCCGCCAGGAAGGTAAAACCTTGAGATTACAATTATCATTCCTATTCTCCATTACAGCTAGCATCTCCTAATTAGAGTCCATTGACAAATGACAACCAGGTGAGGGTTAGAAGATGGAAGGGAGAAGCTCCTGCCTTACACAGTAGTTCCTGGGGGACAGGTTAATAGAGCAGAGGCCATAGGGTGTTTTTCTATGGTCTTTAGGTGGCCACCTAAGCATCACCAATCTAAGTGCTGTTAAGAACTGGACTTTTTGGTTGTAACAAGACCTCTATCCTTTAAATGTTTTAATAACTTCTTAAAAACCCAGCCTTGTGTTATATTAAGTCTTTCGATGATCCTCATACTTAGAGTAAATTCCATTTTTTGGGACAGTCCTGACTGATATCCATGGGCTGAAGAAGGAAAGCAAATAGTTCTGAGATCACAACAATACTGTTGCATTCAGTATAAAGGCTGAAGAATAAATTCCATCCATTGCTACTGTCATCATAGGCTGTTGACAGCTCCCTTCAGTCTGGTGTAATAAACAAGTTACCCTGGATAGCTTTCCCTTTCACATTAGAAAAAGACATATCAAATCTCTTTCTCTTGAAGACTAAGCCTATAAAATTTAAGGTACAGGCAAGGTCTAGACATTTACCTATTACATTGCAATAAACAGTAATCTTTGTCTAGTAAATTTTCTTGAACCAATTGGATCAAGAATGATGGGAATAAAGAGGGACCACACATCAAACTGTAACAGAAAGAATGCATTTAATTCAGAAATGATGCACTTATCATAAATAAATCCCGTTTTTATCACCAGGATTATCTTGTTTCTCTGACTCATCCATGAAGAAAATATACTAACTTCTCCCAGAAACAGCTGACCAGACAAAGGTTAACACTTGAATCCCAGGCATCAGCCTGGGAATCCAGCATGGGACTGATCAAGACCCCCTGAATCTGGGTGTCAGTGAGGAGGCCTAGGTAATCTATTGAGCCTTGGGCAGCAGATCAGTACCCATCCCAAGTATACACACGGACTTTGGACTCCCATAGAACAATGTGAGGTGCACTCTCACCCTGAACTCTTGGGGAAGGGTCTAGGCCCTGCCCTATATGAAATGACAGACTATGGACACCCCCATGGAGGGCCTCACCCTCCCTGGGGGAACGAGGGGATAACGGGGGGGATGGGGGAGGGCACGGGAGGAGGGGAGGGAAAGGGAGAGGGACCTGGAACTGACTTGTGAAGCAACCTTGCTTCTTATCTAAATTAAAAAAAAAAGAATAAAAAAAAGAAAAAACAAAGAAAATATACTAACTTCTATAGGATCACCGCACATACTTTTAGCAATGGTAATGATTCTACAGGGTTTTTCTGTGTATCATTGACTGTCCTGGAACACACTCTGTGAACTAGGAGGCTCAGGTTATTTCAATTACACTTACAGGATATTTTTCAAATAGGGCAGTTTTCTATGCTAACATAAGTGGAAAATTAAATATACAAATGATTGTTAAATTTCTTAAAAAGAGCAAAGAGGAAAGAAATTTTTTCTAAACAAGTATCCATATATTTAAGACATTTGCAAAGTTGGTAGGCATGGTGGTGGACCTCTGTAATTCCATAATTTAAGAAAAGGAGGTAGGGGAACTGCAAGTAGGAGGCCAGCCTGGGTGTATATCAAGTTGGAAATCTGCTTGTCTCTATAAAGAAAACAAAAAGAGTATCTACAATGCCATGATCAAGAGGACTGTGTGATTTTCTTACCAGGATAGATGGATAGACCAAACAAAACTGAGAACTGTAAGATGAACCCCTCATCAGTGGAAACTGTGATAACTATGCCACTGTGATTCATTAGAAGAAAAGATGGCTTGAGTTGAGGAAACTGGTTCATACATGGTACAAGATTTGCATTTTTAAAACTTCTATTATTTTTAATGATGTGTAAGCATGTGTGCCTCATGTGTGGGTGTGTACATGTGAGTGCAGGTACCTGTGGAGGCCAGAAGAGGGCACTGGATCCTGTAGTTGTGGGATACCTAATGGAGGTGTTGGGAAGTGCTCTTAAAACTTCTGAACCATCTCTCCAGCCCCTAGTTTGAATTTGAAATGTCTTTCCAGGGCTCATGTATTGGAAGCTTGATTTCTAATGCAAGAGGGTCTCTAGGGGCTGGGTAATTTGATCATTACAATTCTGATCTCATGAGCTGAATAACTGTGGGGAAGAGCTTTGTATAAAAGCAAGCCCTGTGCTGGTTGGTTGCCATGAGATGATCAGCTTTGGTATACAATAAGCTTCCTGCCATGACGTTCACCCCTGCTACCCATGCACTGAACCCTCTGAAGTCAGGAGCTGCCTTGATCCAGCCACAGCTGGTTCAGGTCTTGAGATGGGGAAGGGGCATCGGTATGAAGAAATGAAATGTCTGACCTCCAGAAGAGTTTCACGGAAGTGGTCTGCCTGAATAGCTCCAGCCATCTTTATAAAAACAACAACAACAACAACAAAAACGAAACAAAACAAAACAAAAACAAAAACAAAAAAACAAAGAAAAAGCAAGCAAGCAAGCATGGTTTTTCCATACTAACAAACAAGTTTTTCCCATTCTCCAGCTCCAGCAAAAAACAAATATGTTTTCTGCTAGCTTTTACATCAAAACATCTTTAAACCAAAAACAACACTTATCATTTTGTTAGCTCCTCCAAATATCTAGCTAGGTACATCCTGCCTTTACAAAACTAAAAGGTGATTGACATAGACATGCATTTTCAAGAACAACAATCGTGTTCAAAATGTATTTACTGAAATAGGGGTGATCTTCCTCCTATCCTGTCAGCACCAAGTAAAGACAGCTCCCAGGGTCTGAAGTGACAGCTGGCATTCCCAAACCTGAGACGTATCAACACCCAGAGAATTTTAGGGGAAGATCTCGAGAAAAAAATGGAATGTTCACATCTGTCAAATGCATGATTGACAAAGTGACACTAAAACCACCAAGAGAATCACCAATCATTATATGAGAAGAGAGTGTTCAGGCCACATGGTCCCAGCAGAATTCTGCACTGCCCCAAAGTACCGGTCCTTGCTGAGTGGGACTGTCCCTGTGGGCTTTTGCCTCATCTGGAGACCCGTCGGACAAGCACTCATATATTGGTCTCCCAACCATGAGCCAAATCAATCTTTGTCTTTTAAATAGATTTCGTTTTTTGTCACACACAGACAAAACTATAGACTCCTGCCTCCTGTGCATTAAAACCCAAATGTGCAATCTGCATGTGTATGGGAGAAGACATTTGCAATGTCTGAAAGCTGCCGAGGCTTTACATCTAAAATATCCATAAAGTATAAGAAGATCCTGCAAATCAGATGGAAGAGACAACTTTTAAGTGGCAAACAGAATATACACATAACAGGAAAATGGATTGCCCAACAAATACATAGCTGTTATTCAAACTCATAAGAAACCAGAGAGAAGGCAAGTAGTAGACAATGAGATTGTCTTCATAGGCACAACGCTTGGCATAAATTAGAAAAGCGGATACTACAAAGCAGAGAGCAAAGCCTAGGCGAGGATGGTCCCTTTGTAACTCCTGGTGGTGTCAAGGGACTCAGCTGCCAAATAAACATCCTGGAAATGCTTAGAGCTCATTCATGCTCACAAAGACTAGAGGTCTTTGCTCACGTTTGCATCTTCCTGTGTATTTGGCAGATTGCCTTGGAGGGTTTCTCTAGGCTAGTTAAAAAAGTAACAGCAGGTTCTCTGACTGTGCATCACCCTCTGCTCGCTGCTGCTGAGTCATCTCCAGTAGACCTCCGTAGTCTACTGAGTCATTTTTCCTGCAGATTCCCTGGGGTTATAGGAGTAGGAGACTGACAGAAGTCAGCTTGAGGTTCCAGCATGTGGGGCCACCAGCCTGGTGGCTCTTCATTAGTTTTTCCTTCAGCAGCCACAGTGCTAAGTTCTACTTTGAATGAAAATTTCTTTTCATTAATAAGGTTTTGGTACCACTGTGATGGGTCCCCATGACTGTTCACAGAGGTGTTTCTTCTTTCTCCATCTTATTGGGATATAATGCTGGATAGCACCACCAAACTCCAAACCAGTTTCCAAAAGTTTCTCTCTTGTCTCTTTCAACCAGGCACTCCTCTCCTCTCCCTGTGATCCGAGGGCAGTAGGGGTTAAGCAGGCATGGGCATCTGATTCCTCTATCAAAATAAAAAATAAAGGATTAAAAGAAGAAGGGCAAAGAGAGACGTTGAAGGACAAAATGATGATTACTGAAAAACACTGGGAGTCTGAGGTAGGAAAGCAAGGAGAGACCAACCAGGGCCAACAGTCATGGGAATAGTGAATGAGGGAAAAATCAGAACTGTGTCTAGGTGAAAAAAAATAAGACAGGCATGGACGACTGGAATCATGAGTTTGCTGGAAGAGTGACCACAGGAAAAAGAGATTGGATTTGCAGCTGGGGTGAGACAGGGTGACAGCAGCAGGAAAATGACTCTTTAGGAGTAGGTTTGGCATGAGTGAGAGAGGCAGGATGATCATCTCAGAAACCCCAAAACATGAGATAAAACTACAAATAGTTAGAACATACAGAGCTTGCCCAAAAAGGCAGATTTATATGGCTTATATGGAAAAGTGATGGGAATGGAAGCTGAGTTCTTAGAAGTTATTAGACATAATGCTTTGTGTGTGGTCAGAGAGTGAAGTCAACCCAGGCAGTTTTAGAAGGGCATAAGACATGTAGTTGATTTTGCTGTAATTGTTGAATAAAGTTTTAGCATGTTTTGTGTGATGTATAAGGCACACATGGCATAAAATTTATTTGTTGTTTATCCCAGACTCTTATAAATTGGGTGCCTGAAGTTTCATCTGGTGACCATAACAGGGATTACAATGATAGATGATTACAGAGACTTGGAAAGCCACTTCTCAGGGGAAATGGGATAGGAGGCACAATGGGTCAGCCTGGACCACCTGAGGCTCATTCCTGGTGGCAGACGACTGATGTCCAGAGACAGCTAGGGGTGTCTAGTATTCCACTGTTTAGAATAGAAGTATGTAGTTTTAATGTGTGCGATCCCAGTTTTGAAAGTGAGCAATTAATGGAAGGAAAAACACCGTTGATAGGAAAGCAATCTTGTGGTACCACAGGACACATGGGCCGGTGGTTTGCAACCTCTGATCTAATCTGTGGAATGGGTGGGGCAGGTTTTACCCTCTCAACTATGAAATGATGGTGACCTGCAAGGCTATGGTAGGTAGTATTCGGTTGAGGGAAGGAACAGCAGCAGAGGATTAAATTCCCCATGCAAAAGCTAAGATGTGGAGATAGCTTCTGTTGTCAAACTGTGGTTTTCCTCCTGAGCATCAGCTCCAAAACGCCACACAGTTCATTCCCTGCAGCTAGAGAACAGCTAATGTTCTCAAGGTGAATCCAGTGCTGACTTGCTGAACCGGACCTCAGGCAGGCACTTCTCAACCTTCTCAGGCAGCACAGAAACGCCAATTGGAATTTCGAAGACTTTCGTCAGAAATTTGTGGGCGGAAACTTCCTGGGGTTGCTGAGAGCTTTTTGAGGCTTCTCAGCTTCGGATGCAAAGTGAGTGCCTGTCTCACAAAGAAGCAAAGAGAGAGGGTGTTTCCCTTGACTGTGGAAACTTCATAAAGAGAACGCAGCACTTACCTTCTCTGGAACAGTCGGCTTCAGGAGTCCTGTTCTCCACACTTCAAGAGTCTCCGCAAGACTGTGAGAAGAAAACTCTTACGCTGAGCAGGGTGGCATGCAGCAGCCTGGGGATTACGCATGCCCCCAAATTTTTTGGGTGGACAACAATGCCACTTCTCCTTGGGCTCCTCCAGGGTCAGTTTTTTCCTGTTCATCCTCTGTGCCTGGAAGGCCAGACCAAAGGAGACCACCACCACCTCCACCACCAATACCACCTCCATCACAACCACCACCACCCCCACTGCTGCCAATGCCCCCTCTAAAGAAGAGGAAGGACCACAGCATAGATCAATGGCTACCGGTGGTATTTTTCATGGTTCTGGCGGCTTTGGTTGGATTGGGGTTAGGAATGTATCAGCTCTTCCATCTGCAGAAGGAGCTGGCAGAACTACGTGAGGTAAGCCTGGCGTGGGGATCAATACGGCTCCAAGTCCCTGAGTACAACACGACCCTGCACATGGGCCATGGTGTTGTTTGCAGTGATTTGGGGGTTTTATTTGTTTGTTTTAATGGTAAAGATAATTTTAATCCCCTCCGTTTTAGGAAAGGGTTGGTATAGTATTTCTACTCCACAGTTGGAGAGACTTGCCCATTCCCTCAAAGACAGTGGTTCTCAACATGTGGGTCGTGACCCCTCAGGGCAGTTGGATGACTCTTTCATAGGGTTTGCATATCAGATATCCTGAATATTAGATATTTACATTATGGTTCATAACAGTATCAAAAATTACGCAATGAAGTAACAATGAAATAATTTTATGGTTGGAGGATTACTACAACATGAGGAATTGTATTAGAAGTTCACAGCATTAGGAATGTTGAGAACCACTGGTAAAAGAAAATATTTTCTATCTTTAGAGAATCTGAGGCAAATAATTATTTCTTTCTCAGTTGTCAAGAGTGTGGTGAGCTTCTTATAGCGTCATATTTAGTGATTCAAGAAAAAAATCAATTTTGGATCTTGCTTTGAAGTGTAGACTAAATCTATTGAAAAGACTTGGAAGTCTTAGTACTACTCCAAATAGTGTTGTGTGACTCAAGTCTAAGTCGGGCCAGGATCCGAAGTATCTGAGTTCTTTTTCTAGGGACTGATGGGATTTTTCTGCCTGCTTGGCTTAAATAACTCCACATTTATTGTATTACTCTTTCTCTTTCATTAGCTCACCAACCAAAGCCTTAAAGTATCATCTTCTGAAAAGCAAATATGTAAGTACTTTTATATGTGTCTTTTGAATTCCCCAAAGTGGTCCTCAACACTGAACAGAGTTGGGAGGATTCCTGGGAGTCTTCCCATTCTTGGGCTTACCATTCCTTCGCAAGAGTCTGGGGAACTACAAAAAATATTGGATGAAGTTTATTGCTCAATAGCCATGTATCTGAATGAACACTGCACATACCTCAACTGAATTTGGGTTTGACTTTTGAAAGAGACACACAAACAGCCCTGGACCTTTCCCTTTGTCCCTGCCCTGGGTATGTCACATGGTGGTGGCCGTGACTCCTCAGGACAGAAGGGGAGTAGAGGCAGAAACAAATGTTTCTGGGGATGCCCTCTCCTTTTAAACTAAAAGCGACTACTCAAGAATGAAGATACATTTTAAAAATATCTTGTAAGATACAACAACAGTTTTAAGAAGTAAACCCATTGTTTTCATTAATGTGTTTCTTCTGAAATTGTAACACCTTTGGGGAAGACTTTAGCCATTGTCCACAGGACTGTACACCTTTCCCACAGAGGACTTAAGATGCCTTTGATGAGTTTGATGATAAAACACCCCCCCACACACACATATCAGATCCAGGCTAAGAGAAAGATGACCAGTATGAACATAAAATCTCAGGGCATGGTTTCAGGAGATTTAACAGCAATGTAAGGATCTGTTTTATACGTCTTAGACTCATATTCATGAAGCTTATATTTCTTTTGAATTGGAAAAGAACTTAGGAGAAAGTGATCTATTTTCCATTTTTCAGGAGAGATACAAAATACCAGACCAATTAGGTGCAATGCCCAAGCCTTCTGGTATGAATCTGGGTCCAGGAGAACAGTCCCCTTATGCCTTGTTACCTATAGAGCTTTCTGACTCACAGAGAAACTCCCACCTCTCAATAATGGCCCTGAAAGGATGCAAAGCAGTTGCCTTTGCAGAAGCAACAGGGCAGTTTTATCTTACTAACTTTGAAGAAAACTGAAAGGCAACAGACAACAGTGATCATCCATTAAGGAGAGCGGGTTCCATACTCAGAAAGTGACCAATCAACTCCTGCCTGAGAATATAAACTCTTGTAGGGGCCACCATGATGTGCTCTGGTTAGTCTGCCTTGTAATCTCACCACTAAAAGATTCTCTTAAGAAAATAGCTGGAGATATAAAAAATGTACATATATAGTGTTCGTCTCTTTCTCTTTCTTTCCTTTCTCACTTCACTTTTTTTCTTTTCCCTCCCTCCCTCCCTCCTTTCTTTCCTTCTTTCTTTCATGTGTGCACCACCACTATCTGGCTTTTTATTTTTTAAATATTTATTTATTTTTATTTTATATTCATTGGTATTTTACATGCATATCTATGTGAGGGTGTCAGATCCCCTGGAACTGGAGCTACAGACAGTTGTGAGCTGCCATGTGGATGCTGGGAATTGAACTCAGGTCCTCTGGAAGAGCAGCTAGTGCTCCTAACCTCTGAGTCATGTCTCCAGTCCTATTCATCAGTTTCTTATAAAACAATTTGAAAGAAACCTAACCCTCAGAATAGGAGATTATGAATGGCACCAAAGCATCTAAGAGAACCACCTAGTGGACTTTTAATGCCATGAATAATTGTGCACTTTATATTGTTAGGTAAATAGACAAGTTGTCAAAGGCTATTTTTAGTTTAATACTCATTATGAAGTAGGTATGCATGTTTTTAACTTCTAAGAAAAGAACAAACCAATAGAGAAAGTGATTTTTTTTCTGGAAGATACTATAGTTATCATAGATTTCTTTCTTCCATTTAAAATACTTTTTCAAATAATTTATTTATCTTATTATGTGTTTACATACACATGTGCATATGTATTGCCATAGCTTGTGTGTGGAGGTCAGAGAACAACTTGGGGGGATTGGCTCTCTCCTTCTACCTGTGGATTCCAGGGATCAAATTCAGTCCTCAGGCTTGGCAGCAAGTTCCCCAGCCATCTAGTCAGCCCGATTTCTTCTTTCTACCTTCTCCGTGGTTAGATAATTGGATGTTTAATTTATATACAAGGTTTTTAGATAACCTGTGACTGAGGCTGAGTCTCGGTTGGTGTTTGAGAACAAGAGAGATAAAGATGGGTGCTTGCTCTCATGGATCTTATAGCACATTGGAGAAGATGAACAAAAACAAGCCAACAATACGATCCCAAATAGTATTAAAAGTGATCCAAAATAGAGTGGTCTGGGAAAGTTCTTTATAAGGTTGTCTATGCTGATGCACATGGAAGCTATCATAAGCCACTCAAAGAGAAGAGTTGCATGTATGGGTCATAGAGCAGGGAGGACATTCCAGGTTGCACATGCAAAGAGCCTGGGGCAGGAAAAAGACTTCCTTTGTATTTCTAGATATTTCTAGGACCTATCCAGCAGATATTTATAGGAGTATATTTTATGAGAGTAACGTTGTACTAGGCTCTATGAGAAATATAAAGCTAAGCAACATGTGGTTCTCTGCTCTATTTCCTGTTAGTACATGGCAGAATGCCAGGCCATCTGCTCTGGTGGTTTGTGGTGTGTAAGAGGTCCAGTCTTGCCTATCCTCTTCCCTCACACTTCCTTCAAGAAGGGTTGTTGTAGGTGCCAGAGAGGTCATGATTCTTTAGATAATGTTCTCAGTAGACAGGGATATTTTCACAACCTGTGTGTGTTTTATAGTCTAGTCCCAAGCCTAAGGTGGACAAGCACTCTCCTATAAGTGTATTAGTTAGCTGAATTCATGAAGCGCAGTACTAAAGTTTTACCTTAACTGAGATATTTGAAGTTAGAGAAATAGTGTTTATTTGAAAAGATATTGTCAGTTTTAATGACTTCAATTTAATTTACTGATGCTATGCTAAACAAGGCTAAACACTCTTGTTACTTAACTATATAGTAAAATGACACTAGGGAAAGACTAGTCAGGATTCCAAAGCCTGGCAATGTTAGTACTAGTTTAGATCATAAAGTGCTTATTCCAGAGAGCTGCTATTTTCCTGGACAAGAAAGAAGTAAAGGTAGTTATGACAGTTGCCCCAGCAAGGAGGAGCCAGAACTATCAAGAGACACAAGAGACAGAGGGATCTTAGGCTTTGAAGAGTGAAGGGTCATATTTGACAAAATGTGTGGAAGGATTTCCCAAAGGAGGAGCAATGTAAGATGGTTACTAGAGAATTGATAGGAATTTTAAAGTATTTATTTGTTTATTTATTTTATGTATATGAGTGCTTTGTTTTCATCCATACCAGAAGAGAGCACCAGATCTCATTACAGATGGTTGTGAATCACCATGTGGTTGCTGGGAATGGAACTCAGGATCTCTGGAAGAGCAGCCAGTGCTCTTAACTACTGAGTCATCTCTCCAGCCCCAGAATTGATGGGAATTTAACACAGAGATCTCATCTGGAAGGTGTTCCAGACAGAATGAGTAAAAGCCCAGGATCAGGGAAGAAGGGGGCATAATCAGGTCATAGGACCCATGCTGTGTGCAAGTGTTTGGTGGGATGGCATAGGGAGAGTAAGACTGATACCATGTATAGAGGAACTCAGGCTAAGGCGACATGATGGAGTAAAATTGTGGACAGCCTCGTGATTGGTGAGGAGGTCTTAATATTATCAACGTGGGAATAGATTGTAGATTCATGCCCAGGACATGAATCAGTAGTCTACCAGTCAGCAGAATCAGGGTGTACAGACCATGAATTTACAGTCAGCCTGAGGAGTCCATTGTATCCACCATTATAGTCAGTCAGTCAGCTAACGTCTTTTTGCCAATTATAATTGGGGCAACGAAGAGAGCAAGGCAAGTTCTAAATGGAGTAAATGAAATGGCTGCTTTGTGCAGAGAAATTTGTATTCATTATGTTTTGTCATAATATAATTTATGTATACATCTGTCTTTACCTGTCTTGTCTTTTTAAACTGTTTTTGAATTACAGACTCTCATGAGTCCTACAGTTTAGATTTTCTTGATAAGTCTGTACTAGAATATTTCCCCCTGTGCTCTGAAAATATAGTTAAATAGTGGGATTTAGAGTCCCAATCAAGATAGTGGTTGACATCTATCATAATAATTCTCACATGTCTTTTGTCTCTCTATGATGCAGTCCACCCGAGTCAACCCTCTGAAAAACAAGAGCCAAGGTGTGTGGCCCATTTAACAGGTTTGTGTCTGGAAGGACTGGGACTGGGAAAAATATGGACCAACTGCTCAGTTTCCATTGTAATAAGCTCTTGGAAAGTATTATTGACAATTGTATTTACCACTCAAATCTCTAGGATCTCATGAGACTAACCCAACAATTTTAATGCTATAGAGTTGTGTATGGCTTGATCTTGGTCATAAAATGTGCACTCTTGAAGATGGAGCTGACCTCAAAACTCTAACATCTGGACAGATGATACAGAAACCAGGTGCCACACAGATATGAAGGGAGATGGGAGCAACAGCTGCAGCCAGTTTCAAAGCACAGACAGTAAAGAGGATGTACATAAAACTGATGAGAGGGATAGAAACTTTCTGTTGCATTTCCTTCATGATTGGAAATGATTATTTTAGCCATACATGTTATATGACAGCGTGCATGCGCACACATGCACACACCTGTCTGGGATAGATAAATTAGACCCTGAGGATACTCTCCTTTGTCTCTGGAGCTCACAAACTCTAACTCAGTACACAAGTCTCTCCTGTAGATGATGGCCAGCTGGAGAGGATGACTTCGGGGTGGAGTGGTCATAAATCCCTGTCTGAAGTGTGTAGAATTCTGACTGCTCCCTTGCCTCGACCTCTTGGTGGCCTCTGTTAAGGACATGTCAGGTTGGCACAAGAGCCCCAGCCATCATTTTCCCTAGAGGAGGAGATGACTGCCTTAAATTGAAGGGAGTGTGACACCAACACTGGGAAGGTGGTGTGTATTTGTCACACCTCAGGAGTTGGCATTGCTGGTGCTTCCCGTGAAGGATGTGGCAGTCTCAGGTACAGGGCTGTTAATGGAATCTGCCTAAGTTTTCCCTTGCCTCTCCATGTGGTGGGGTTCAACTGCTATGGTCTGTCATTCTAGCTGGCCTCAGAGGTTAAAGTACACATAGGAGAAAGTAAGAGTACTTGTGACATGTGTTATATTTGATGTGACCACAGCACGAGGAAATGCAAACGGAGAGAAAGGAGTCTACCAGGCTGACAGTCCTGTGGCAGAAACATAAAGAGCAATTATCTCCACTCTCAAGGAATCCCTTGGTTTATTAGATGAACCAAGAGAGATTACTTTTTAAAAAAATGTACACTCTTTTCAGCCATTCCAAAATCCACAAGGGGACTTGTGACATAAGAGGAGTATCTGAGGGTGAGTGATGTACTGTTTTGAGTAAGAAGAGATAGTCCTGGCATTCATTTGTGGGCTTTCAGCCTATGATTATAAAGTGAACAAATTGTTTAGTATAATATGGCATGGGCAACTCCATTAGAAATATAAACATTTAAAATGTAGGTATATATCACCAGAAGAGGTGTACCATGGCTCCTGTCATCATCTGGGTCCACAAACACTTATTAAGCACTTGCTATGTGTAGTAGGTACATAATGCTGTGTGAACAAAATGGAAGGGGATTAGTTCAAAATCAGAGGCTAAGGAATCCAAAGGAAACAAGGAAGTTAACCACATAATCATGAGATTTTTGTCCAGATGTAGAACTCCAGAGATCATTCTCTTTATGGAGGGGTCCCCAAGCTCAGCAGTGTTAGTACTAGTTTAGATCATAAAATGTTTATTCCAGAGAACTGAAATTATCCTAATAGTTTTCTCTGAGATTGATCAGAGGCACACACTAAATTCATTCCAATCACATGGATGATTAAATTGGGATGGACAATTTGACAAAGGTGTTGAAGAAACTCTGGGATGGACCATGCTTTGACCCCTCATTAGCTGTCATTCTGGATAGAGCTTTTGTTAAGGAAGGGCCCAAAGTTTTCCCTTGGAATCTTAGCCCATCAGATGTGTAAGACCTTCTGGTTGAAAGTTCCTCTCTGGTTTATTACAGGCAACCCCAGCTCAAGGTCTGTCCTTCTGGAGTGGGAAGACATATATGGAACTGCTCTGATCTCTGGAGTGAAGTATAAGAAAGGTGGCCTTGTGATCAATGACTCTGGGCTGTACTTTGTATATTCCAAAGTATACTTCCGGGATCATTCTTGCAACAATCAGCCCCTAAGTCACAAGGTCTACATGAGGAACTCTAAGTATCTTGGGGATATGGTGCTAATGGAGGAGAAGAAATTGAACTACTGTGCTACTGGCCAGATGTGGGCCCACAGCAGCTATCTGGGGGCAGTATTCAATCTTACCAGTGCTGACCGTTTATATGTCAATGTATCTCGACTCTCTCTGATTAATTTTGAGGAATCTAAGACCTTTTTCGGCTTATATAAGCTTTAAAAGAAAAAACACTTTAGAATTATTCATTATTCCCTTTTATGGGTATTGGGAATATTGTCTTCAGTGAGAGTCTTTTTAAGACCAATTGAGATTAATTGAGACAACGTAAGCCACAAAGACCTCGTGATCACAAGGTTCAGCCGGTCAACTTTCCTTCATTTCCCAGAAGTCCATGAAGTAGTCCTTAATGCCTCCATTGTGAGCCAGATGGAAGGAGGACTGTGGCCGAGGAAATAAAGCTTTGGGCTGCCATGTGATGATGCAGAGGCACAGAGAAGGAGCTATCTGATGTCAAATGGCCAAGAACATTTTAGCCATTGAAGAGGACACTTTTCAACTCACCTTTCAGGGTGGGTCTACTCGCTACCTCAGAAGAGGCCATCTTTTAGACACATAGTTATGATCTAAATATACAAGGGATGAGAAAGAGGGCCATGTTTGACTGATAAGCTAGAGACTGGAAGAGGCCAATGTCTCATTGGCAGCATCTTTACTTTTAACTGGTGTTTTCTGAGCCAACCTTTGATGCTAACAGAGAACTAAGAGGGATGTTTGAGGCACAAATCATTCCCTATACAGCATGTGTATCTCCAGTGCAATGGTGTCTGTGTGTTTGTATGTATGAGAGAGCAGACAGACAGATTCTAGAGAATCGTATAAATAGAACGTGTGCATTATGAAGTACATATTAGAAACATATGTGTTACATTTGATGGTAGATATCTGAATGTTTCTTGGCAATAAACTCTAATAGTCTTCAAAAATCTTTTATTATCAGCTTCTGATGCTGTTTTCCTTTAATAGAACTAGTATTTATATATTTTGTGCATCTTAGTGAAGAAAAGACAAATAAACATTATATTGTAGAATATAGAAAAGTATTAAGGTTACAGTATTTGGAAATCAGTGAGATGTGAGATGTGCTTGTTGTTTCTTTTCTCCATGGTTTCTTCATTCGTTATGACTTTGGAGCATTCTGAGAAAGATTTGCAAGGGTGAGTAGAACTATGTGGAAAATTCTCCCATCTTCATCGTTTCTCTTATTTTCTCTCTAGCTGCTCTCCTCTGGACCTCACATTACCCTGAATTTTTTTTTTTGGTTTTTATGAGACAGGGTTCCTCTGTATTGTTTTGGAGGCTATCAGTCCAGCCAGGCCTTGAACTCACAGAGATCCGCCTGCCTCTGCCTCCGAGTGCTGGGATTAAAGGCGTGCACCACCACCGCCCGGCTACCCTGACTTTTGTTTACCAACATTGTGGCTAATGTTAAGCTGACCCAAATTTCCACATATTTGATTGCAACTCATCTTCTTTGGGGGTAAAGACATGGCAAAGTGGAAAAGTTTCATTCTTTGTGGTAAAAAGCCTGGAGTTGATCTTTGTCTGTGTTCTTAGCTCACTTTGCAGTCTGGTAGATCACTTGCTCTCTGATGTGCAGAAAAGAGTTGATATATGTATAATATATGTGCAGCCTCTTTAATATTTATGTGTAATAGATTATCCAAGGGGGGTTTGAAGTCACAGATGGGAGGAAAAGTTAAAAAGAAAACTGAAACACACTGCAACCACCAACACTATATACAAGAAAGATATTATTAGGTACCCGACATTTCCAGAAATTAAATAGGGGAAGGACAAGGGAAAGTGCCAAGTCAGCAGAACCCAAGCTGTCATTCAAAAGAGTTGGTAAATGTTTCCTGAATAAATCGAGGGGCAAAACCAAAGTCTCAGGTTGGAAAAATATCAACTTCTCATCTTCAGGCTCTTCTGTCTGACATCTGCTTTGAGTGGGTGGGTTCTTTCAAGGAGAATGTCTGGGAGGTATTTGGTCTTTTGGTTGTAGATTTGTCTTTATAGCCATTGTAATGAAATCCCCTTTATGTTTTTCCTTATATTTTGGACTCAGTCATCAAAGATGCCTGTTCCAATGATCATGGGACATTTTCTGGATATTTTTATTTTCTTTGTCAATGAGCATTTCTAGACAACCATACTAGAGCCAAGAAGAAGTAAGTATGGAGGCACAGGCACCTTGAGATTGGTGGATGTTAAAATCTAGCAGTCTAGCTGCTCTCATATCTATATCTCCAGAGTGCCTTTGGGGTTGTATTAATAGCTCACCACATTTTAAGTATTCTGATTCTTAGCCTTTTGGTGAAGATCAAGTATAGTATTAGTTCCAGTGAAAAGATGCTAACAATACCTTTAGAAACCTGGATTGTTTTTCTTTAGCTTAAAATACAATTAATGTTGAAAACAAAATATTTTGAATGTATTCATTTAAAACAGGATCTCCCATTGTTTCTTAAAGAAGGATGATTAAAGACAAAGTTCAGTACAGATCTACATAGAAAAGTCACTTCTAGTTCAATGGTTTGAGGTTTTCTTTTCTAACATCTAACAGCACACAACACCCATTCTTTTCTTAGCCCCTCAGACTGGTGGCTTTGTGTTCTCTGAAGTAGGTTTTGACTTACCACAGACTAACAGGAAAGAGCTTTCCTGTGGCCATCATCAGAAGAGTATCTATTCTGAGGTACTTTCAGAAGAGAGAAATGGAGGGGGAAGCCTCGCCCCTCAAAACCAAAGTAGATGCTTGCCTTCATGGGCTAAGGCTTAGACATTCCCTAGTCTTTATCAAAAAAAGTAGAGAGGCCATGAGTGAAATTATATATATTTAAAGATGGCTGGGTAGAAGTTCTATTTCAGGTGCTCTTTTTCTTACCTAACATGAGAGGTCACAAGTAACCTAGAAAACAGGAGGCAGGACACATCATTTATGGTATTTGTGCTCAGCAATGAGTCCAGCTAGAAGTGGCACAGTCTTTGGTAGTTGTCAGAGACCTTTAGGGTTCACCTGGAACACCACCAGACTTGGCCATGTAGATGACTAAGCAGGCATTTGTTCTTACAGTTCACTTAGGAAGCAGCAGAGTATCTTCTCAATGCTGATCTGTTCACCTCTGATGGGGGATATCCTTCTGTACATATGTTTCTCTTATTGGTTGATGAGTAAAACACTGTTTGGCCAATAGAGGCAGAAAAATAGGTGGGACTAGGAGACGAGGAAAATTCTGGGAAAGGTAGGCAGAGAGATGCCATGTAGCTGTGAAAGTAGTAACAGGTTTGGGCATTCTTTGGTACACCAAGACCACGTGGAAATACTTAGTTTAATATAAATGGGTTAATAATTAAGACAGAAATAGCCAGTAAGAAGCCCTAGCCAGTGGCCAACAATTTTATACTTAATATAACATCCATGTGTTTATTTGGGCCTGAAGTGGCAGCAGGATCTGGCAGGAAAGAAACTCCAGCAACACACCTCTGCCCCCAGATATGCCAAAATGTGACACAGTTCTCCACACTTATGAAAATGCATCTTCAGAATAAGGCAATGCAACTTTCATCCTGTGGGGTCACCCTTTCTTCTAATTCTACAGAATGACATGAGCCTCATGCTCCCGTTCTATAAGAGCTCTAATCTTTACATTTTCTAGACTGTCAAGGGCAGTGCCCATTACAACTCTCATGAGTTCTAGCTGTGGATGCTCTCCCAGGGCACTTGTCACTCCCAAAGTAGAGTAATTTATTGCCTCCCAAGCATCCCTACAACATATGTGTAGACAAAGTTTACTGAAGACTTAGAGTAATGGAGAGAGAGACAGAGAGAGAGACAGAGAGAGAGACAGAGACAGAGAGAGACAGAGACGGAGAGAGACAGAGACGGAGGGAGGGAGGGAGGGAGGGAGGGAGGGAGGGAGGGAGGGAGGAAGGGAGGAAGAGGGAGAGGGAGAGAATACACAATATAGGCTACATGTGAAATTGAGTATTAGAGGTCAACATTTTCAAACTCACAAATATATCCTCGAGCAGACACTCAAAGTTCTGGTATTTACAGTAAGCATATGATATTCATTTATTCTTCAAGTGCTTTTTAATGTTTTTGCTGACTAATGTTGTTCTTTGAAAATTTCATACAAGTATATAATGTATACTGACTGAATACTTTCTCCCTATCCTCTTTCTTATTTCCTCCCAATCTCCTTTACCTCCTGCCAGTGCCTTTATAAGGTATGTGATTTTTGGTTTTGTTTTGTGATTCATTTAGTTTAACCCAGGTCATCTATATAAACAATTAGATTTGATCTATTTGAGCTTGGTTGGATCACAAGTGGGCACATAAATGAAGGCATTTACTGTCTCTCTCCATGAGTCTGTTAGTAGCAAACAGTTTATCAGTGAAGGGCAGGCACCTATGAGACACTCCTCTATCTGTGTTTCACTTTTGTTAATAGCCCTAGTCTTGTGCAGTCCCAGTGCAAACATCTATTGTACATCCATGATTAAAATGACTTTGTCTTACCCAGATTATAACATTTTGCACCCTTTCTCTCGATCTTCTGGCCTTTGCACTCTTCCTAGTCCCTCTTTCATAGTGTTCTGAGTCTTAAGAGAATGCTATAAATGTCTTGTTTAGGGCCCAGCACTCATCCATCACTTGTTTCCAGCACTTTGTGTACATGAGTCTCTTAATTCATCACCATTCATTGCAAATTCATCACCATTCGTTGCAAAAAAAAGATTCAGTGATTAAGGATAAGAGAAACATTTGTCTATGGGTATGAAACGGATATTTACAAGAGTTTTCTGCTATGAAAACTTAGCTAAATCATAACATCCAATTTCTCCTGCTAGGGTCTATGATTCCTTCCCCCACCCAGTGAGTGTTCTTTGACTAGGTTTGTAGTACCTTGAATGGCTTCCCTCCTATGGATCAAGTCTCAAATTCAGTTGAAGAGTTGTTTGTTACATCTATAACAGATGTGCCACTACAAAACAAATGGGTACATCTTGCTGGAAGTTACCAAGTGTCTTTTTTTAAAATGTCTGCCATATAGGATAAACTTTCCTAGAGAATTCAATAATAGAGTTCTTTGTGGAGTTCATTTTAAAGACAAAGTGGAAAACAGGCAATAAAAATAATAAAAAATGTATAGGTACATGCCTGTTATTCCTACACTTAGGAGACTGAAGGAGGAAGATTGCATGTTTGAGGTCAGTTTGGGCTTCATGAGTTCCTGTTCTCCAGAAGAAAACACTAATATTTAATGTCATGTGGTTGTAAGTGTTATGAAGAAAATTGGGTAAGGTAATGGCAGAGAATGATGGAAAAATGGTTATTGAAAATAGGGAAAGCAAGACACCCAGATATCTAGGGCAGAGCACTCCAAACAGAGAAGTTGTTATATTTTATTCTAGTGTAATATAGGCTCATATGTTGGAAACTTGATCTTTGAAGTGATAGTTTGGGGATGTGGTACCTACCTACTAGGATGTGACTAGGTCACAAAAGCAGAGCCTTCATGAATGGATTTACTTTATTTATTTTTTGCAGGACTAGACTAAAAATCAAACTTCTCCAATGGAATCTCAAATAAAGCATACTTCAGGGCAAAGCCCGGGAGTAGTTGGACAACATCAAATAAGATCAATGGTATTTCTGTGGGCTTTTTTCTCCTTTTGCTTTGTTTGGGCATTTTTGGTCTTATTAGCCCTTTACTTGTTTATTTTGATGTCTATTTTGGTGAGGTGACGTGTGTGTGTGTGTGTGTGTGTGTGTGTGTGTGTGTGCATAAGAGTGAGAGTTGATTTTATATTTGTTTGCTGGGTAGGTGAGATGGCTCAGCAGGCAAAGGTACTTGCCTAGCAAAAACTAGTCTCCTGAGGTTAATCCACAGAAACCATGTAAGGTGGGAAGAAAAAACTGGTTCCACAAAGTTGTCTTCTGACCTCCACACATGTGGTATGACATATGTGCCTACACACATATCACACACACACACACACACCATGTATTTATAAACACATGCACAGCGAAAATTAAGATTTCTTGTTCTTTAAATCTTTCCATAAGATCCATGTAGAAAAATATAATCAACTGTAAAAATTACCTGTGTGAACAACAGAAAGGAAAATATCTTTAGAAGTATGAAAGTAAAAGAATACAATTTTATATTAGCCATAGTCTTTAAATATTAGTTTATATGGGTGGTCGTGGTGCACACTTTTAATCCCAGCTCTCAGGAGGCAGAGGCAGGCAGATCTCTGTGAGGTTGAGGCCAGCCTGGTCTACAAAGCTACACAGAGAAACTCTGTCTCAGAAAAAAAGAGCAAAACTTAGTTTATAGTTGTTATACACATAAAAGCAACTGGTTCATTTCAGACTCCTTATATATGCTGGTTGAGATACTGAATATATTCTCTACCCATTATGTACAAAGTCTAGTATGATTAGCCATGTTTTAATTAGCATTCAAAGTAATGGGACTCACAACATACTCATACATCCATATCATGTATTTTACTCATATTAATTTCCAGCTACATTCCCTTGTTCCTCTATCTCCTTTCCTACTGGTCCCCTTTCCCTGTTTTCTTGTCATGAATAGGTACATATACTTAAGTCTATGTTCTCAATCTGAAATAAAACACTGTACTTTCCATTTGACTTCCTGAGTCTGGTTTATTTTGCCTAACTTGATAACTTACAGTTGCATTCATTTTCTTACAGACATAATTTGCTATCCTGATGACTGTGTCTTTTTAGTCTAAAATAAAATTTTAAAAGATGATATTTAAACATTTAGTTGGAGAAACAGAACATTTAAGCTTAGTGCTATCCTTGATTGTAGTTGCCCTCCTCATTAAACCTGGAATCATGCCAGGAGATGAGAATTGCCAAGGGAATCCCCCTTTTCCACTACAGCTTGTCATAGAGGGATTAGAACTTCTTTCTCATATTGCAGCCCCACTTTCTGTGGGTGAACCACTTCAAAGACTATGTGAAGTTTTGGTAAGAGACACCCTCGATGCTATCAACTTTTAAAGTGTCCAAATATGTAAGGCATGCAAGACAAGAACCATTGCAAATGAGACAACAGCCATTTCTTGGGGGTTCCAAGGCTTCTGTGAGCATGGAGGTCTTCGGGGTTCATTTCTTTTAGACTTCATACTTCATCCACTCCAGCCCAACACTGTTCTTATTCCACTTTTAATCTGTAGAAGAAAATGTGCATATATTTTTGGGTTGGCAAAGTTCTAGAAGTTGTCAATTATTGATAGAGAAGGTTCATGAAAGAGACTTTCTCTGGCCTGAAATAACTGAACTAAGATTCCTAGACCTTCACAAAAATATTAATGTCTAAACTGAAGAGATATTATATTCATTGAGAAGAGACAACACTCTTAACTAGGTGGTGAGAAAGAGACACAGAGGTGTTAAACAGAACTCTGAAGTGTGAGCTCTAATGGAAGAATTATCTCAACCTCAGCATCCTCTTTGCATCATCTAGGTGCTGTATTCTGGTTTTCTAAGAAACTCAGAAGGCTTCTACAGGGGTCTGGGAACGGTGATGATGAGAAGAAAGTATCAAGACTGGAGTCTGCTAAGACCTCTGTTAGAGTTGTGTTTTGGGGGTCCTGTTGTTGCTGACTTGGCTGGCCAGGCAGCTTTTCCAACCTGTTCAATGAATATGAAGATTGCTACTGTTCTAACAGGGAATGTAGCCAGGAGTCAAGGTGAGCACACAGTGAATCCACATTTGCTTAGGAATGCCTTTTCTGCCTTGCAGTCAAGTTTTATTTATGGTTCACTGGATGGGTAGATATATAAAATTTTGATTTAAGAGTGATAGAGCATTTGCTATAGGATTTGTATTGCCTTCAAAGCATGAATTATGTATATGACAAGAATGCATTGTCTCCCTTTGAGTTGAGTTATATAAAGTGCTATATTAGACTAGATCATCCTCATAACAGCCACCTTAGCCAAGCAGTATTGACTGCAGCTTATGAGAAAGCTGCTAGGCATTCACAGAGATTAAGTAACTTTTCAGTGGCCACAGAGAAGCAGTGTTAGAACTAAAGACTAGGCTTCTCAGATCTGAAGACAGTTACCCACATACCAGTTTGCAATATGGCCTCACTATAACCACCAATGTTCAGTTATTTAACAACTGTTTGTTAAGTACATGCTAGGAATCAAACATTGTTTGGAGGGTAGAATGGTGAACAAAAATGTGATATTGATTATTCTTTCATTAAGTTTTATTTTGGGTCCTGGGGAGCAAACCCAGGGCTGCACACTTGCTAGGTGAGCACTCTTATTACTAAGTACATCCACAATAATTCTTATTAAACTTAATCCTGAATGAGATTCAAAAATGAGAGAAAAACTAAACAAGAAGGTAAACACATAAACTTAGAAATTATTAGGAAATGGTAAATTCCATTTTTAGAATAAAATCAGAAGATAAGTTAAAAAGAGACTAAATAATGGCACTAGAGAAAGGACTCTCTGAAGTTAGGAACCCTAGCTCTAATGAGCTTGTATGTGAATACAGTCAAAATACATTATATAATTATATGGAAATGCCTTCATGAAACCCCTTACTTTATGTAGTCAGTATATGTTAATGATTAAAGAGTATTATTTGAAAACAGCAATGTGGAGATGAAGATGTAGCTTAGGGGTCACTTGGTTTCATCCCTAGCATCATCACAATAAGAAAATTATAAAATAGCTTAAATAAAATAAAATGGCAGTACAATCACTAGGTAGTAAGCATTGTAGAGAACAGAAACGCTCTTTTGCAGGCCTGCTTTTGACATTTTGGATCAAGCAGTCCGTGATGGCGGAGGACTGTACAGAACATGACAGAATGCTTCGGGGAGCATTCCTAAGATTTAAATAGTAGTGTCTACCTGTCATTGTGACATCAAACGTCTGATTTCCAGACTCACCCCTACAGCTGTCTTTCTCCTCTCTTCTTACTGAAGCCACTAGGTGATAGATCTAAAGCAGGAGTGTACTTCATATGTAGGATGAATAGAATGAAGAACTCTGGACTCGTAGAGATGGCAAGAGATGGCTGTTGGAGAAGAAAACAGCGCTATAACTGGGCAGTGCTTTGGAAAGTGGGACGAGAAGTTTCAACTTTAGGGACAGGGCTAAGGGAAGCTGCAGGAAAGAGTCATCGGAGGGGGATGGAAGAGAAGTGGAAAGTGTTGGTACATATTTAGATAGCAGGGCTTTCGGGTCTGATGATCGGGTGTTGGGTGCATTGGAAAGAGATGAATCAAGGATTACGCCCACCCTTTCTCTGTTTCCTTTGTAGCACTTACCATAATTATTTCCTAGACTTATTTTTCTATTCGTCTGTTTCTCCAATGAGATCCACAACTGTTTTTGTCCTGGTGCTAAGGTCAAGTGCCTCAATAAAAAAAAAAAAAACCAATAAAATATCTCCTCCACACAAACAGCACTTCCTTCATCTTAATTAGTGTACACTGTCCATCGCACCATCCATCATTTCCCTAAAGGTACCTAGGTTGCTCTCAAATGTTCGTCCTTTCAAAAAATGTTGCAGTGACTACGTTTATATATCAATAAATCATCTTGTCTTTCCCTAGGAAAGAAAGAATTAAAAGAGCTAAGCATATACTGCCTACTATAACTTCTGATGTGTTTGTCAAATTATTTAAAGTGTTATATCACTTCACACTGTTCCTTTATTACAATTTACATTAAAAAGTACTTGGGATGTTAGGATTTTTAGTTTTAGTTTTGCCAGTGAATTATCCAATATAATTTTATCTTTTTAAAATTAGGCTGCTGTATTTTCTTCAATGCTGCATGAAAACTCTTTGCATGCTAAGATATCATAGGGCATCTGTTGTGTTTCAGATGTTTACTTCAAGTATGTCATCTATTTGTTAGTTTTTCCATGTAGAAATGTTTAAGTTTTAAAAACACATTTCTTTTTGCCTTCCATAGCTTACCTCATTTTATAATTATATACTTTCTCCAATATAACATTTCTGCTGTGTTTGGCTCCACAATGCCTTTAAATCTGCATTGGTATGGGGTGGTGGATGGAGTGAATTAGATTTTCAGAACCCAGAACTGAACACAGCGGCACCCTCTTCGTGTTTTTGATACTTTAACAGCACAGTAATGTCTTAGTATCAGCTTCCCTTTACATTGATATCTGGTCCCTTTGTCCTCTGGACCTCCTTATGACCGAACCACTAGCTCTAATACCTGTGTCTGCATGAAATTTTCCTTTAAAGTGTCTCTAGTAATTAATTTTTGTTTATTTTCTCTCTTTATAGGCTTCCTAATCAGCTTGTCAAGTGTTGGGGAAAAGCCTATGTCCTTTGCACTATGGATTTTACCTTTCAAGGAAAATGTGCTATGTAGCTCAGTGTGTATTTGCTTTCACACAGATTTTTTTGTTTGGTGCTTAATATTTTTACTAAGACTTTTTATAGTTTTATTTTTATTATATCTTATTTAAAACGTTCTAAAAATTCAAATATATTTTGATGATATTCTTTTCCTCCTTCCAGATCCTCTCCCCATCCCTACCCTCCCAACTTTAACTTCTTTCTCAAAAAACAAACAAAAACTCAATACAAACACAAAGCCAAGGAAATAAAATAACCCCTCTCCAAAACAAAACCATAAAACTGCATCCAATTAAAAGCAAACCAGAAGCCGTGGAGTTCATTATATGTTAGTCAACTACTCCTGAGCATCAGGCCTGTTCTGGCGTGGGTTATATACTCAGAGTCACTCCATTGGAGAAAACTGAGTTTTCATCTCCTAGAGGGTATAAGTGACAGTTCAGTTGCTAACCTTAACCTTTACTCTAGTGGCTAGGTTTTCATTCATTCTTTTAAAACATCTAATGAAATAAAATATAAGAGAAAACAAAAATAGTCATATTGAAGTTGTACAAGATAAACCAACAGAAGGAAAAGAGCCCAAGAGAAGAATCAGATTACGCAATCACACATTCAGGAAACCTATAAAAATGTATAATTGTATATATGGTCACTTTACAGGATCATTTATTAAAAATATTCTAGACTTGCTGGGCATTGGAGGCACAGGCCTTTAATCCTAGCACTGGGAAGGCAGAGGCAGGCGGATCTCTGTGAGTTCGAGGCCAGTGTGGTCTATAGATTAAGTTTCAGGACAGCCTCCAAAACAAAGCAGAGAAACCCTGTCTCGAAAAACAAAACAAACAACAAACAAAAAATCTAGACTTAAAGGCTTGGATTGTCTTATTTTCTTGGGCATGGTTTCCATATCTCTGACCTCAAACCATCTAACCCTGCTTCCACTGGTGCTCAGACTTTTGGATTGCTATGGTTACAAATGTATAATAAACATTAGCTGTTAGGTAAGGTGCTGGGCCCAGTAGGAGGGGGTTAACGGCCATTATTTCTTACTCCCTTTGCCCTCCATCAGTCCTCTCATCTCTCCACTATGCCTTGCCTGCTCTACTGTGCTGCCTAGATTTCCAGAGGCTTTGGTGTGGGTGGTGGGAGGGCGGGGAGAACAGGCAGGACTTCCACTCTTTGCTTCTTCACTCAGTACCACGTCACCAAAGCAGCCAGCAAGCTAGCCTGGGTTCCAGATGGTTTTCAGAAGCCCCAGGC